TCCTTGTTCTCATGTTTTAAAGAACTTCTTAATTCCTGCCTTAATGTTGTTATTTACCCCAAAGTCATTTAAGTGCAGGCTGTTTAATATCCATGTAATTGTATGGTATCAAGTGGGTTTTTTGTTTGTTTGTTTTTGTTTGTTTTTTGAAATGGAGTCTCGCTCTGTTGCCCAGGCTGGAGTGCAGTGGCACGATCTTGGCTCACTGCAACCTCTGCCTCCCGAGTTCAAGCAATTCTCCTGCCTCACCCTCCTGAGTACCTGGGATTACAGGTGCGTGCCACCACACCCAGCTAATTTTTGTGTTTTTAGTAGAGACGGGGTTTCGCCATGTTGACCAGTCTGGTTTTGCACTCCTGACCTCAGGTGATCCGCCCGCCTCAGCTTCCCAAAATTCTGGGATTATAGGTGTGAGCCACCATGCCCAGCCTAAGTGGGTTTTTAAAATTGAATTATATTTTTGTCAATCTGTAGTCTGTGTGTGTGATTAGTATGATTTTGAGATTTTTGAATTTGCTAAGGATTGTTTTATTTCTGATTGTGTGGTCAATTTTAGAGTATGTGCCACATGGTAATGAGAAGAGTGTATATTATCTTGTTTTTAGGTGGAGAGTTTTATAGATGTATATTTGGACCATTTGGTCAAGTGTTGAGTTTAGGTTCTAATATCTGTGAATTTTCTGTCTCAATAATGTGTCTAATAGTGTCTGTGGAGTGTTGTACACTACCACTGTTATCGTGTCAGAATCTCAGTCTCTTTATAGGACTCTGAGAACTTGCTTTATTCATGTGCAACCATGGACTTTTTATAACACGTTTCCTCTTTAGCTTTTTACCCCATAAACATTCTTCCAAGTGCACCATGTGCCCAGGGTTACTCCTTAGATGCCTGAATCCAGTGTCTACTAAAATTCAGATATCCAAGAGTTCAAAAACGTCCAGAGACCTGGCTGCTTTCGGACAAAATATAAATGAGAAATAAGTGGCTTTATTCTCCTACCTAAAAATCAGGGAGGATATTTTGTTCATCTCCCTTAAAGCATTTGGATTATATGTAGGTTTTTTTCTGTGCTTTTTAAAAAATATGTGTAAATAGTTGTAACAGCTAAATAAACCTTTTTTTCATTTTTACTGACTCAGGGTAGTATTCACTTAGGGCCTCAGATTTTTTGCTTTTTATTTTTGCTTTGGCAAAGGTTTGTTTCCCTTCTTACCTTCCTTCCTTCCTTTCTTCCTGCCTGCCTGCCTGCCTGCCTGCCTTTTGAAATAGAGTCTCACTCTGTCGCCAATGCAAGCTCCACCTCCCAGGTTCACGCCATTCTCCTGCCTCAGCCTCCCTAGCAGCTGGGACTACAGGCGAACGCCGCCACGCCCAGCTAATTTTTGTATTTTTAGTAGAGATGGGGTTTCACCGTGTTAGTCAGGATGGTCTTGATCTCCTGACCTTGTGATCCGCCCGCCTCGGCCTCCCAAAGTGCTGGGATTACAGGCGTGAACCACCGCACCTGGCCATGTTTCATGTTCTTAGTCTTTTAAAGTGGACACAGATTTGTTTAGATTAAAGCTCATTGTAAGAGCACACAAAAGTTGAGCACTAAGATAGGATTAAATTTAGCATTGCAGAATGATAAAAGACTAAAAGATGCTAAATTTGTTTGGTGGGAAACTGATTATCCAAGGTAATTATTCAATATTTGCAGGCTGAAGTATTTACACTTCAAAAGCAAAAGTGAGGTGAGAATTTTTCTCTTAATTATCGTTCCCAAACACTGTCTAGAATTACTAGACATGATATAAATATATTAGATGCCAACTAAGCTTTACTCTAGCAAGGACTTTCCCCCTCAGGCTTCAAGTAAACTCATAATTGTGCTGCAGAGTGCATGCTGTCCCCTAAATATGCAGGCAGAATTGTGTCTCTGCCTATTTGCTATTTATAGTCTTGTACAGTCACTTCTAGAGAGGCTAGATCAGATTTTTACAAACTTTACAGGGTCACAATCTATCATTTTACCTCTTTCAGTGACTCTTGTGTTTTCAGATGTGAAACTAATTCACAGACCACGGGGCCCAAAAACCCAATCAGAGTAATGACATGTAGACATGAGGTTCTTCTCTTTCCCCTTCCTCCTCTTGCTAAAATGCCCACCAATTTCCATGCCCACAAAGGTGCAGGTAACATCTGTTGCTATTCCAACAATCCAGGACCTAAACCTGCAGCTCCATTTTCTGAATCTAGGTCTTATATTTGGGGGAAAAAACCTTTTATTTGAGGAATACAAATTCTTTCAGTTGTCAAACCCAGACATTAAAATAAGAGCACAATTATGTCTTTTTTCCCCCTTTTATAAACTATATTCATTTCTTAAAACTCTTTGTTGTTGCCATTAGTAGCTGTAAATTAAACTATTAATGTCACACTGGATACTAACACTATAACCCATACTCTAAACCTTCACAATGTATATCCAACCAATAATTAATGTTATTTCTGTAAATAAATAAGAATTTTTATATCAGCCCACTCTCTGTCTTTTTTTTTTTTTTTTTTTTTACCTTTACAAATCCACTGGTGACTACTGCTAATTAAAGTGTAGATTCCAGGCAATTTGAATCTTTGCTGTCAGGTTACAGTCCTCATGTTTGGCCCAAATAAACTTGTCTACTTATATTCATGTTTCTTCAGCTTTTTCCTTTTAGGTAGACATATCACTTAGAATGCTAGAGCCGCCCGTATGAGGGGCTTTCTCCGTTGATTGTACTCTACTTGCTGTAACACCCAAGAATGTAGAGCCAGGTTGATCCCACCTAGAATCTACACCTAAGTTCTAGCCCCTGCCTGGGATTACAAGACAGGGTTAGACTTTGTATTGAAAATGTACAGAAAACCAACAAGAGGCATTTTCTGCATTGTGAGATGTCAACATTGACATCTTAAAGTTTCTTTTTAAGAGTGTGGCTCTTTGAACTTTTCAGATCTTATCCAGTGACCTGCTATAGTTAGGTGAGAGGCTTCAGGTGTAAACAATCTGAAGGCAAAATCTGCAAGTGTAAACAAGCATCTTAGGAGTGAGAGATCAAGACCACAAAGTATCCACAGCATGATCTCAACTACACCTGCCTGTAAAATGTGATTCTGGAGTACAGTATTCTCCTTCCTCTTACCCAAGAGCTAGCTAGTCAGGACAAGTGATCCAGGTTCTGGAGCTCCACCAGGGCAGTTCCATTTTCTATTTAGAATCAGCCTGAGTTTCTCCTGCCTGGCTTACCACTGGGCCATCAGCCCAGGCTCACTGGAAGTCCTCTCACAATCAGCTGGGTGTCGCTGAGCAATTTGAGGATGTCCAGAGCAGAACTGTGTCAGTCAGACAAGAGTGGTTAATTCTGCTAACTCTCAGTATAAGAGAAATGAGTCAGCCTGTGTTTGTTCCTCCCTTCATACAAAATAGGTCTTTGGTTGGTAGCCAGATGAGAGTTTCTCCAGTTTCCTGGCCCTTGGGTGAAAAACGAGGTCTGGAGACTAAACAGATAAAGTAATTTTTAAAATTTTTTATGGCCATTCAAAAACTAGTTGAAGCAGTCATGGTTCTTACCATCCAGGAACTTTCAGTCTGGACTAGCAACTAGATACATTGTTGAATTAAGCATCATATGGTTGGTACAATGAATAGATGTGTGCAAAAAACCTTAGGCTTTGCTTGGGCCACCTTATATTTTTGTGACTTCTGATATCATCTTAAGAGATACTTAGGGACAGAAGATTTGTTATTACTCTTTGTATTTCTATTACCTTGCTAAGAATACATATTTATCTTCTAATAAAATTACCCTAGAAAACTTTAAGAGATTTGTTTAAATTACTTATTAGTTTATGTTATAAAATTGACAGGGCAGTGGTGAAAAAAGATTAAAATTACACAAACTCTGGCATTTAAGTTTCTCTCAGGTAAACTTAGGAAAAATAGAACTGGAAATACCCCTGGAGGCATAGAGAGCAGAATTCTACATAGGGTTCTCTCCCTGATCCAGTTCTGTTCAGAGTCACCTTGTTTGGGGGCTTCATTTAGGTCTGGCCCCACCATGGAGTCTTGCCTCACGGAACTGATTAGGGAAAAGTCAATCAGAGTTTTGGGTGGTGAATCCTACTACCTTTCTAGAACTGTTATGCACAATTTCCTGAAACCCAGAAGGAGATAAATGGAAAAAATCAAGTATGCATTTTAAGGTCTTAATTTTTGAAGTTTCTATTAAAACCAGTGCTTGTGGAGACATTCCATTTAGCAACGTGTTTTCTATGCCTTCAGATCCAGTAGTTGCTCCACAAGTCACAAGAAAGTAAATATAAATACAGTAAAAATTTCACTGAACTACATTAACCTCCTCCTTTCCGTATCCCTCTCATCTGTCTATATTTAGCTTTTACTCTATACATTTTTTAACAACCAATGACTGAGAAACAAAAGTAAATAAAAATGGTGGGCCCTTTATCTTAATAATGGGAATTATTAGACACTTAGTACTAAATCCCAGGGTGTTAACGAAGATTAAATCACATAATACATTATTCCCAACACAGTTCTCTGTAACATACCCTTGATCACATAGTACTTGCTTAATAAACATTGCATCAGTACGTGTGTACATGTTGTTTTCCAAATGCAGACTTATTCAGACATTGCTGCCTCCTATTTTCTCTGTAAACTTTAAAGAGCCAACAAAGAACATGATATTGTAGGATGGAGATTGGTTGTCTTCATTTGTACCAAAATTATTTGTGTTGTGACAAGAGTTGAGTGTGAGGGATTCTGTGCTGTACCCGCTTTCTCTAACTAATCTAATGATGAGCCCAGGGGGAGCACCATCAGCATTGACAGTGGACTTGTTTAAAACACACATTTATGTACTGTTTGCAAACCTTCAGAATTGCATTATCTAGAGTGGGGCCAAAATTACCAAGAGATTTATAAGGTCATTCAAACATGTAAGGTAATTCTTAGCTAAGTGGTTATCAGCCTAGGCTTCTAATTAGGATTACATGGCCAATTTGCAGAAATCTCTTTACTTGTGTTTATGGGCCAGCAAAACTGGGAAAAACACAGGTTCTTTCATTTACTGGATATTTGACAGAATATTCTTATTAGGCCAAACACAGTTACATTACTGGTGAACTTGTTAGAAATTCAGAAACTCAGACTTTATTCCAAATCTTCTGACAAAAATAATCTGCAACACAAGATCTCCAGTTCATTATATACATTGAAATTTGAGAGGTGCCTTCTAACTCAACATGTCTTTTCCATCTGAAAAATATACACAGCTCATTTTGTGTGGTGTAAATACAGCACTCAAAAATGTATGTTTATGTTTATGCCTGAATTTTTTACGTTATAATCCAGAAAACTATAATATATACATTGATGTTGTGGATTATGCCTCTCTGTTTACACAGAGTTAGAGAATATATTAGAAAATATTTCTGTGTTGAGAATTACTTTATGGATTGCATTCATTCTTATAAGTTAGAAGCACTTCTCTTTACTCTCTCATTTCATCTTGAGTCAAATTAAAAATTCTGCCCATGGCCACTTGGTAAATATGTGTGTGTGTGTGTTTTCAGGGACCATTGACATTTATGGATGTGGCCATAGAATTTTCTCTGAAAGAGTGGCAATGCCTGGACACTGCACAACAGAATTTATATAGAGATGTGATGCTAGAGAACTACAGAAACCTGGTGTTTCTCGGTGAGAATAACTTCAATACACATTTCATAATATATTCTAAAGGTTTTATTTATTTTTTTTTGTGTAGAATTTTTTTGGTAGTTTTTGCTTTGTATAAATGAGTTTCAGATTCCTGTTTTGAAATAAATTTTGGGGATTTGTCTGTGTAGAGAGGAATATCTTCAAGACGTTTCATCTTGATCTGAATTTTCCGCATTCCTGAGCTGATCTGTGTTTTTCACTCTAGATTATTGGTAATGCCTGAAGGTTGGTGGCATAAAATATTGTTTCCTCCACCTTAAAATCCACCAGTTTTTTTTTTGTTTGTTTTTTGTTTTTTTTTTTGAGACAGAATCTTGCGCTGTCCCCATGCTGCAGTGCAGTGGTGCAAGCTTGGCTCACTCCAGCCTCCACCTCCTGGGTTCAAGCAATTCTCCTGCTTTAGCCTCCTGAGTAGCTGGGATTACAGGCGCACACCACAACACCCAGCTACTTTTGTATTTTTAGTAGAAATGGGATTTCACTGTTTTTCCCCGGCTGGTCTCTAACTCGTGACCTCAGGTGATGTGCCTGCCTCGGCCTCCCATAGTGCTGGGATTATAGGTGTGAGCCACTGTGCCCGGCCTTCCACCACCAGTTTTTGATTCAGTAGTATTGGGTAGTGAAATTAAGAACATACAAATTTAAAATATTTTCTAAAGATTTAGAAATTTCTGTTATAAATTACTATTTTGGGATTAATTTACTAGAATATTCTATTACATCATCTTTACTGAGCAGATTACTAGCTTGAGAATTGAAGAATATGAGCAATATTCATGTTATTTGTTTTTAATAAAACAGGTATTGCTTTCTCTAAGCCGGACCTGATCACCTATCTGGAGCAAGGAAAAGAGCCTTGGAATATGAAGAGACATGAGACTGTAGCCAAACCCCTAGGTATGTGAGAATGAATGCAACAGAAGAGAGGTCCAAAAGTCAAAGAGAAAGTCAGTGCTTAAAATGTGATTTGGGAAGCTGTGTTCCAAAGGAAAGAGTTTCTGGGATGCCTGAGGATTTTTTAATTTTACTGTCACACAAGGACACCTTCTGTCTTACGTTTTTAAATTTTCTAAAGATTCGACTTTCTCTTTGGTGATCTTCCTTCAAGTTTACAATGAGAGCCAAAGTCCTCTTCATGAAGTATAAGAGACTGCAAAATCTGGCCACTTTTCCGTTGTTTTGGGGGACACACAAATGTCTGCATAATTTTGAGAAACTGCTATGTTAAACTATTATTTTAAATTCTCTTTTAGCATTATGTCCAAAACAGGTGAGTAGTGGTTTATGTTCTATTTTTTTGTTGTTCATTTTTCCACACAGTCCATCCAGTTTTTATTACTATACTCTTGAAATACAGTTTGAAATTATAAAGTATGATGTCCTTCTGCTCTGTTCTTTTTCCTTAAGGTTGCTTTGGTTATTCAAAGTTTATTGTAGTTTCATGTACATTTTAGAATGGTATTTTTCATTAATGTGAGAAAAATACCAGTGAAATTTTGATAAGTTTATTGAATTTATAGATTACTTTGGATAATATGGCACTTTACAAATATTTATCCTTGGCTGGGTGCGGTAGCTCACGCCTGTAATCCCAGCACTTTGGGAGGCTGAGGCGGGTGGATCACGAGGTCAGGAGATCGAGACCATTCTGGCTAACACAGTGAAACCCCATCTCTACTAAAAATACAAAAAAGGAGCTTGCAGTGAGCAGAGATCACGCCACTGCATTCCAGCCTGGGCGACAGAGCAAGACTCCATCTCAAAAAAAAAAAAAAAAAAAATTTTTCTTTGAATCCATGGAAATAAAAATTTTCAAATTTATTTGTGTCTTTAATTTCTTTCATTGATATCTTATATCTTTCATTGTGAAGATTTTTTTACATCTGGTTGAATTTGTTATCAGAAATTTATTTTAATGTTCTTCTAAATAGATTGTTTTTCTGTTATATCAAAGAGTTTGTTTTAAGTGTATGGAACCATAACTTATGCTTGTAACTTAATTTTATTTTTCTAGTCTACTGAGTATATTTATTAGTTTAGACAGGTTTTAATGTAGTGTTTCTAGTTTTTTATGTATAAGATAATATGATCTAGAAACAGCAACTTTTTACTTATTTGTCTTCAATCTTCAATGGCTTTTGAAAACTTTTTGACTACTTTTCTGCCACATACTTTCAGTGCTATGTTAAAATAGAAGCATTGACAATGGGCACAATATAGTTTTACATGGGTGTCTGAATTTGAAGGAGCAAACACCTCTCTAAGTTTTCATAAACTGGTTTCAGAAGGTAAAGATCGTTTTTTTTTTTTTTTGTTGGGACCCCAGGGTGATGGGATGCTCTCTGGGTTTGTAGTGGAGAAGGATTATAGTTTGGTTTGTCACAAGACTTATGAGTCTACACTAGGGTCCACCTTTAGTTGGCTTGTTACAAGGAGCTTGGGTAGTTATAATTTCCATTTTACTTTTAGGCAGACTTAATAGCCTTCAGGACTTTGATCTTTAGAACAGACACTAAGTGGGGTTTCTGCAGTTGGGTCTGTATATGGTAGGCCTTGTATCAGGATGTGGATGAGTATGGCTTTCACTGAATACCAAAGAGGATTTTCCTAGGTCACTGTGCGGGTTTCTATGTAGGCTTAACTGGCCATGAACTGTGGTCCAGGAAGCTGAAACTGAGTCATGGAACTGCTTCAGAGATCATAGTAAAGGCCAAGGTCTGCAGACCTGTCTGCATGGCTATTAATTTGTATATTCCTCTAGACCTCCGGAAGGCCAGAACCTCTCCCAGACTGTGGCTAGGAGGAGTTTGGGATGGTTACAGAGTAAGTTCACAATTCTCAGTGAGACCAAGTTGGGCGAACTATTTCCTGGTCGTTAGCCAGGAACAGAGGTACTGTAGTTTGCCACCTTAATGAGGGGCCTGCCTTCTGAAAAGAATACTCCTCAATCTTGGGCTTTAGGAGAGTTTCACAACTTCCTTCCTGAATCTCAAAGCTCTATTAAAGGCAGTTATTTTTGAGATGGGGTCTTGCCACATAACCCAGCCTGGTCTTCAAATCCTTTCCTGCAAAAATTCTCCAACCTCAATATACCATGTAGCTGTCATTACAGGTGTGAGCCATGATGTCTGGCTCTATTATATAGACATTTTTGTCAGGGATGGCTGACAAATTTTCTTGCTGTGGGGGAATAAGAAAATAGAGCACCTTTTCTTTTTCCATCTTACTGATGTCACTATCTCTATACATTTCTACTTTCTGTTTCCTATTTCAAATTTGCCTGCAATATTAGATTTTTTTTGGACAATATGTTAGAATTTACATGTTGTGCCTGAAGTAAATGAAATAATTAGTATTACATAATCTTTGAGGTGTCAATTTTCTTCCTGGAAACCTCTGTGGCTAGTGGCACCTTTGCCCGAGTTCTTGTCCTGCGTCCAGGAAGGATAAGGTATGCAGACAAGTGAAGGGTGAAGAAAAGAAAGAGAATCTTCATTTAGTGTTAGAACAGCTCAGAGGAGACCCACCTGCTCCTTTCTGTAAGCAGGTCATCCCATCGAGTGTTCAGCTCTCAGCAGAGAAGAGGCCCTGGAAAGGGTGGATTCTCTGTGCAGGCAGGTCGTTCTGAGGTCTCTGCGGGTCTCTGAAGCTGCCGGGCAGAGAAGGTGGCTCCTCTCTGTGGCTGGTCATCCCATTGTTTCTGTGTCCTCTGCCCTCTCTGGCTGAGCCTGGGGCTTTTCTGGAGCTCAGAGAGGAGAAAGTACATTCCAGTTTGTCCTTGGGTGGCCCTGGTCAGGCCTGGAGGAGGCACCAGAAGTCCCCACTTTGGTCTGCGGGTCCCTGAAGGTTGGGCTCTACAAGGGACTCCTTTTCTGCCAAGGAAACTGTCTTCCTCCAGCTGCCATTTATATGGCTCCAGGGCTTGGCTCCAACCCTGCTCTGAGCTCCCAGTGCATGGGTGCCGGGAGAGAAGAGAGGCAGCAGGAGCAGACACCTCTAAGCCAGCAGAAATGGGGGAGGGTCTTCCCAGGACCCCAACGATGTAGGCAGCAGTGATGCAGTCTTCTACGTGGGAGGGCAGCTGCAGCTGTTCCCAGGGAGCTCCAACCCCAGCAACTTGAAAAGGGCAGAGCTCTTGCTTGTCCTTGTGGAGCAGGAGGCCCAGGTCTGCAGCCATGGGTCAGGTGGCTGCAGCTGCACCCAGGAGGCCAGATCTTGGCTTTTCCTGCCTGATCCTGTTCCCCCCCGCCCCCACCACCACGAGCACAAGGAGGATCAGATTCACAGCCATAGTTTGGGTGGCTGCAGCCCCACCTAGGAGGGCGGGGCTCCTGCCTGCTTTGTAGAGCAGAAAGCCTGAGTCTTCAGCAGCACCCAGGGAGTTCCTGCTCTAACTCAGAAGAGGTGGCATCTTACCAGCTCCATAGAGTGTGCAACCCCAGCTGCGCCTCTCTGCTGCAGCCAGCGTAATGGCAGCAGCTACTTCCATCAGTCCCCCCTCTGAAGAGGTACATCTAACTGCCATTAGAATAGGGGCATTAGGGATGATGACCATTAATTGCTTCATACTGACATGGGGTGTTGTTTTGGGAAAACAATAGTTCTCTCTCAAAGGCCTATCCAAGGGTTTCCAGTAAAAGAGATTTATCTACTGAGGCTCTATTTGTACACCTCATTTGAAGTTTGACATTTGAAGTTTGACAGCCCATCTCTTATTTTTTCTGAGCTATAGTCAGAGATCATTGGTTGGTTCACTTCCACAATTGTCAAAAGGTACAAATAACTCAAAAGCTTCCTTGATTTTGAAAAATAAAACATAAGGATCAGCAGTGTTCCAAGCAAAAAGTCAAGAAAGATTAGTCTTCTATTCAGTTCACCCAGTCAACTCCTATTCGCAGTCTCCAAAGTTAGCAGAAACTTGCACTCAAGGGTTATAATCCATTCTTTGAGGAGGATCAAAACAACAAATATCTATGAATGTTAGAATGTCCTGGGATAGTCACAGTGAAAGACATGATTGACAAAAGAAATTTAGTCACCTTTGTGATTTTTGATAACCTAACACATAACTTTGATTATAATTGATAACACAAACTCAGACATCAGAACTCTAGGAATCCCATACAATTTTTGGAACACACATTAACATTTTTCACTAAAATATAACCTGAAAATCAAACGCCACCTGATCAATCCTATGTAAGTAAACATGTCAAATAATCCTGTTTACCTCTCTCTTGGATGTCCCAGGGGCCCTCTGTAGCATCAAAAAGCTAGGGGTTAGAAAAGACAATTTTGAAGCTCTAAGGGCTCAAAACACTTAATAGAAGTTCAGGTTACCTTAAGTCATCTGTTTAAATGACTCAAAGTGTTGTATTTTGTTTGTTTGTTTGTTGTAAAGCAAAAGCCTTTACTCGTCAAGAGGGAAGACCTAGTTTTTCAAACAGTCCATTTCTTGTCTTTCCCTTCTTTTTTTTGAGAGTTTATTCAAAAGTCAAAGAAAAATCTTTTTCAAGAGAAAGAAAGCCAAATTTCACGCTTGCATTAGTCTATTATTGTCAACCTCAACTTTTTAAATTAAACCTTATAGATAATTTTATTCAATCTTAACAAGTTTGACTCTGAGGTACAATTCTTAAAAACCTTTTATAACCCTTTACAAATTTGTGTTAAAGGGTAGGTCAGTGCCTCAAGACACCCTTGTTGTGCTTTTATTCCAATGTTCAATTTATGGAAAAACCAAATAATACCCTTTTGAATTTAGTCAATATGTTCACATACAGAATCTCTTTACAGTTTTTAACAACTTTCCATAACTTGTTTGAACCTTTAGTTGTATCTTATTTAAAACAATCCTTTAACCCTCTAAACTAGGCAAAAATTTGTGTTTTCACGCC